ATAATTTATTTATTAAAGGGGTTGGTTTGCGTTTGGGTCGGTTCACAGGAGCTGGACATCGGACTTTACCCAGCAGGTCTTAAGCCCGCAAAAAAAAAAAGCATTATTTGATTTTTAATTTCTATTTTTTTAAAAAAAAATATTATATAAATTTTAGTTTGTCTCCGCGACTGGAGCACCACATTATTGGAATTCCAATTCCATGTCAAACCAAATGTAATTATTGGAATCAATTATAAGGGCGCTATTAGCAATGGTCATCTGCAGAACAGAAGACGGTGGTGCGGAAGGTGATAAGACCCTCCCTCCTCCAGCGTGTGTACTAAGATAGAAGAGATGATATTGTTTCTATGGGCTTCAAGGAGATCTATTGCAATGTAAGTTTTCCCATGAAAGTTTGCACGATGATTTGTAAATTATCTTAATCAGAATAATCATCCTGATTGCTAACCTATAAACATGAAGACCTTAAGACATACATGAGATGCTACGCCCAAGCAATAATCATAACCATTTGTCTGAAATCTCGACAAAATTACTTGTGTTCTCCAATTAAATATGAAAATTTCACAGCAAATATCAGCATGAAGCATTGCTTCCCAAAGTAACAGTAATAAGGGTATTATATGGAAATTTAAGGGAAAAATCATAATTCTCAAGGGGATGAATGTATGATACAATGTTAAAATAAAGATCAAGAATTATTCCAGGACAAGAATTCCCCTCTTTCCACGTAGCTTATCCTTTTTCATAACCTACAATGATTGTGACAATGGTAGATACAAATTGACTTTTGGTTTGTTTCTATGGGAGTTGTTTTTCTTTTGATTCTTCAGCTTCCATCTGATCATCTAAAAGTTCAAGATCCACCAAAAAAGTGGTGCGCCTACTTCTCATCCCAATGGCTTCGTCAGCAATTATGCGCCATCGACAAGTCTCCTCCAAATCCAAGAGGTAGTGAGGGGAAAGAAAGAAGAATCATATTCGTTTGGGAATTGAAAGAGCAATGGAACATGCGAACCCAAATCATCCTGGTCTGCTCCTACCAAATACCAATGAAATGACGTGCTAGGTCTTCAGATCTCTATCACCAATCCATGATTTACCTCAAAACTCCATTTGCAAAGAATTCCCTATTTCTTTATTCCAAAGTAATTGACATTTACAATTTCAACAATTGTCGGAAAAATCGAACCCAAACTCATCCAAGAAAATCCACAAATTTCATAGCAAAAACAGAATGTCTACTCCGACGACTATCTCATCCTTCGCTGCACGCCAAAGAATAAATGCCAAAGGAAGCGTAAAGGAGGCGGCCCAAACAACAACAAAGCACAAGGAAAGTGGGGAAATTACAACAAAGAAGAAGGGGAGAGAGAGATTACCGGTTGCGGGTCGGATCCCGCGAGGCGGCGCGGCGTGACGCAGCGCGGTCCGACTGGATATCCGGCGATGATGTTGGTGGGGAAGAAGCAGGACGACATGAAAGGATCGCCACCGCCTTTGCCGACCATCGCGGACCCTCGAATCCCCACATCGTAACCGTCCATTATCGGATCGGGAAACCGCTTTCTTTATTGGGTGTACCACCCTCGAGTCCCACGCCATAGCTTCCAACGGCCCTGGTCCACGCGCTGTAGTGTGGGTTCCATTGGAAATTATTTATTTTAATAAAATGAGTGGACATTCCGCGTGATTTAAGATCATCATCGTGTATACCACAGGAAAAATGCATACATCCTTGTGGATGCAGTCATATGAAATAATAGAATACTTGATTAAGAAAGATAAATATGAATCGTTTTATATTGTACAAGGTGAAAATAAAGGAAAATACAGAATACCCGGGTTTACACATGTTCGGAGTGACAAGGATCAAAGCTCAAAAAGAAAATAAAAACACTCAGACAAAAATGGAACTCTTAAGAAACATCAAGCTACATATTGAGATGAATTAATTCAGAGATTTAATATATATATATATATTACCGAATACAAGACCATGTATGAACTACCCCCAAAAATGCTAAAAAGAAGAACAAAGATGACATCCCGTAAATTTACAGTCATTCATCGAGCATCAACACTATAGCCTGACAAGAAAGAAAAATATCTGAGATCCAATATCGTATAAACTTCAGTATCTTATTATCTGTTCGATGCAGCAACCCAATGAGAAGAAAGATACCTGGAATTCAACACCAAAAAAACTCTAACGTCTTTGTCTGTATAATACCCCGCCAACCAAAGAAGAAGATAACAAGGGTATAAATCCAAGATACTATGAACCCATGAACTCTCATAATCGTGTGCGTCTGTAGCAGCCGAGAAAGGGTATAAACCTGAGAATCTAATAAGCCATAAACTCCAGCATTGGTTCTGTTTAGATTTTTCCAGACACTTTAAGCGATGACAAAACAACAAAAACAAGCCATAGAAACATGAAGTATGTGGCTGTCAACCAAGCCCATAACTTTGGTCCACCGAGTTCTGCACCTAAGGTAATTCGTCGAAGTAAAAGAACAGCAATGCAACCAGCTGAAGTTGTGAAGAATACCAACAGGGAGAAGCTTAGGCCTCCTGCGTTCTGAATGTACAATGGTTCTTGGTACACAAAGAAGTTGTAAGTTGTGTCTATCAGCCATGGAATGCCAATGCCAATATATATGTTCACCGAGTTGCTGGAGAAATGCAAAAACAAAAAAAAAACGTGAGATATTCATTCAAGAACTTAGAAACAAATTATTAGACATATGCAAGTCAAATTACAGTTGCATGTATGATTGACACTAACATTTTCCTAGTAGTTTCCTCATATGAAAAAGAAGGGGGAAAAAACTTGCGCATTCTGACATATTACTCTAATCAGGAACTTGTAAAATAGTGTTCTACTCTAATCAGGGAATATCCAGTTCTTCTAAGGAGTCAGTCTCCCATAAACAAGTACTAAAACTACAGGTGGACTAGATGAGACTAGGATACAACTTGATTAGACAAATATTAAACAGGCTCAATTTAATCAAACCTAAACACAAAGTTGACCTAATATGATTCCGTTTCAACTTGTTTTGCTGATTCAGATTGCAGCACACCGTGAATATACACCAATGCAAAGGCCATGAAATGGACATGTATTGCATGTTGATATCCACAATTAACTGCGATGTGATTTTATCTCCTCAGCATGTGAACTTACAACTTGGAGTTAGGACTCACAATTTTCTTCCTAAAAATCATGAAATTATGTGTTACTGGCACTTAAGCAACTTAAAGATCCCCAAGCTTGTATTAGTTCTTTTTTATCAAGTATGTTCATCTGATGAGAACAGACCTGCAAATGATGTTAGCAATGGCAGAATCTGCAGTGATTTGACGCTCAGCAGCAATCTTGCTTGCAACTAAATCAGGCCATGAGGTTCCACTGGCTAGTGCTGTAAAAGCTATGACATAAGGATTTATTCCTGTAAGAAAGCAGTACAAAGTTGTGTCAAAAAAATACAACTAATATATTAATACGCAGGAAATTTTTTTTGACAAGATAAAGAAGATGACCTGTCACACAACTTATTCCTTCTGTAAGCTTGGTAACCACATAGGCTATCCCACTTATAAAAGAAAGAGAGCCAATGAATGCTATCCAACCATGAGCAATTTGATATGGGGGCACAAAAGCAAATAATAATCTCCAGGGCATGAGGATTAATTTCCAAAGGACTCTCCCTATCCACAAGTAGAAACTGACCATTTTCTTTGATTCAGTGCTCTCCAACTGTTAAAATGAAACCAAATTTAGAAAAGAACAATCTTCTTATCGGCAAAATATCCATTGACTCAAGGATTTTTTATAGGAAATACTCTACTGGGTTCTAGACTTCTGTTTTTTGTCCAACATACTTGAATTTGCATATCCACCTTCCAAAAAGTCCCAAGGAACATGAATATTGTTAATAACATAATCACAGACATAACATGAGTCAATTCAAGTTTTTAGAACTGCTCAGGTCAAAGACTTTGGCTACCAGGGACCACCATCCTAACGTTATGCTCAGAACCCTTAAATGACAGCTCCTAATTTCATGCCAGAAATACTACAATAGTTCATCATGATGTTGACAAAACTCATATTTGATTTCACGGTGACTAGCAATAGTGCTAAAAAAAGAGCTTGATGGCAGGTTTGCTGGGATATTTCTGCTTGTTGGTGGTGTTGTATAAGCATTTACAAGTTCTCAGTAGGCATTGGCACAAACACACATGACATGTTCAACTTCTAACAAATAGTTAATCCTACCTTTCATCCGAATTTAATTTTGTAACTCTGGTTTTCTGAGTGTTAGATGCCAAATTTTTTATCCACTATGTTTTATTGGTCGATGTAGTATACAGACACTTTCCACATTCTTATTCCGACATATAACCATTTATCCTAGATGAACAAAGAATGGAAACAGACCTTAAATCCCATTCTTCTATGCTCCTCATACCATCATTCCATCTATAACATTCAACTATGATGGTTGCTAGTACTGTAAGTGGAGGTTTCATATGTTATAGGGAAAAGATGTCACACAGAATAGCTTCTTTAGGCAAGTCAGCACTGCTGTTGGCTGATGCATTAATAAGTGCTCCTTGAAGAAAACATTTGGGATGCTTGAGTTTAAGGTGGTAATAAAGGAAATAGCTGCTGACTGCCAGAAGAACTGGATTTTCAAATTCATATGTGCTATTGCAAACTCACACATAAATATGCAAACACATGCCAATAGACATACATTGCATGCAAGAATGCTGAGTATTTATGCATATTGATGTAAATATATTCACATAACTGCTCATTTTTTATCCACCAAAAACTTAACAGGTCTAGTTGAAGTACTCCTTAATAGCATTTCATATTATTAAAAAGAAAATGAAATTACACAAAAATTTCATAATCCATGCATCAAAATGGCAAAAGGTTGGATTCATATACCAAGGACTAGCAATTACAATAAACTTTATAAAATGAATCCCAAAAATAGAGCACAATTTGAATTCACATCACACTTCTGCTGGCAAGAAGCATTCAAGTATTTGGATGCATGCTATATATCGTCATAAGCTTTTTTCGAGCCATGTTATCATGTCAAGACTCATGAAATCTTAAATCAAAGAAGGTTCTAAAACAACTTGATAGATCAATTTCCCAGAATTTTGGAGGTCCTTATATCCTCTTTCACTTCATTTACAACCTTCTTTGGCAAAATTAAACTATTGAACCCATTTGACTTGATTTAGTTGCATAGATTTTCCTACAAAGCATGGAGAATGGATAACTCACATGCTTAAGTTATTAACAGATAAGGATGTAGTAAGCAGTCAATTCAGTAAACTGCATTCTAGAAAACAAGTATAGGTCTACAGAACCATCTCATATGCTTGCTCTCTATAAAATGGTTTCCTCCATCAACAATGATGAGTGAAACAACATTAGTTGGAAATGATGTCACAGTGGTGTGTTTTCCAGTAAATCTTTTTCCTATATATTGACTTATGGTTGATGCAAAGACCCATTTCAAGAAGTCATTGGTCAAGTAGGCGACTCCCAGAATTAAAATTCACTGCTAACTGCTGATTGATGATAGGTTGGACACCAAAAAGTTGTCCTGGCAAAGAAAAGTCATACAGGGTCCAACTAAGCATTCTGTGTAACTCCAACAATGAAACTCATGTATGTACATTTATTGAATAAATGCAATCATTCTCGTCAAGGGTAACCCTTGATCATGAGTGATGTGGTAATTCCTTCTCAGAATCTATGGATATATATTCTCTCTGTGCAACTGTAACTATCAATGCAATCTCAATAGCAGCATCAGGCTTCGGTGGAGCCTTCTCCATGGCCTGGACTTGGCTATTATGAAAAGAAAGGAATAAGAGATTCTTTGAAAACACATCTAAGGGTTGGAGGATTATGGCCAATGTGTAGTATGATAATATTCCTGCATCTCGCAGCATCCCTAAACACTGTATCGTAATACCTGACGCCAGTTGGCTCCACTCATCTGTGCGTGCTTTCTTCTTTTCTTTGCACTCTTAGACCATCTATTCTGCTTGGTGATGTTACCAAATAAGTTACCTTGTACCCTTGTTTTCATAACTCATTAATATATCAAGACATTTCCCTCTCTCTCTCTGTGATTCACTCACTTTAGTAGAATTTGAGTTTAATTTCTTTATGCAATTTATTTTAAAAAAGAGCCACAGGCACATGCATGAAGAGCAAAACAACAATGTAGTGTCTCATCATCTCACCGATCAGGGTCATGAAGAATATACACAACAAACAGGTGCTTTTGTCCTCAAAACTAAATTAGGCTTGGAGTCAAATGAAATAAAAGGGAAAGGGGAAAATTTTAAAAAATGAAGTACTATGCGAAATTACCCTCAGTGCATCAAGAAATTGTTGCATCCAAACTGAAAGGACATCCCGTTTATTGTCAACCATCTTGTTGCAATATAGTTCTGAAGGTTCTTCCGTATCATTATCTGGAATAATTTTGTAGACTAAATCTGCATTGTTGAACAAATTTTGTATTATTAACAAAGTGTGAATGATATATGTGTATGTAAAGTGTTCAGCAGTTGCATGAGAAGTTCAGGAATATTAACAATATTTCTCTAGTACTATAATGCTTAAGAAATATTAACAATAGAATGCGCATGCCAATGGTATGCTCTGCTACTATAATGAACTAAATTTTCCTAGTTTGACCTTGCCACACAGCACAATATGCATAAAAGTTAAACCAAATAAGTAAAACAAGGCCAATCGAGCTATCTATGCTAATCTAGCTATTCATGCTTTCTTTGAAAGTCTGATAATGGAACGTGTGACATGGCAGCTATGTTCTTTTGAAAAGAAACTTACCTACTAAAAGTTCAATTTGATAAAGTCGACTCTATCATTCATATAAAAAGCACCATATCATCAATTTTGACAGCTTAAAACTAGATTTTAATATCTAGTTAATGCTTCGTATAACAGAAATTTACAGTTACAAATATATGAACATTCCCATATGATTGGAGAATTCTGATAGAGCATCTTATATTTATACCTGTGTCCTTAGATGAATGGATGGAGAATATATCAACCACATTACTCTGTTGACCTTCGCTAACTTGAAGAATCTCACAGCAATTATCATTTGATTCACGTGTGTCATGCCCATTGATAAATAAAGTTTCATTTTCTGGGACCCATTCTTCTGGCCTATCACTTCTTCCACTGATGACAGAAAATTGACATCATTGGAGAACATAAATATCAATGTGAATTTCAGTTTGATCACTGACAGAATGCAACTATAATAACTTAGTAGCTTTAAGTTCCACAAAAGAAATGTAGAATAAGAACATAAATGCCTACAGTGGAATCGACAAATATGGCCATTGTTTGTCTTGAACATATGCATGAACCAGTAGCAACCCAAACTGTAAGACTGTTAGCACAGCCTCAGAAAGAGTGATCATCGTAGGTGTCCAAACCTGAAAATTGCTTAAAATTGTCCATATTAAAAGAAAAAAAAGAATAAGTTTGTTCATATTATTATATGAGAAGACCAAGTACTATAATCCATAAAAAAACTAGAAAAGAAGCACTATAATGCATGACAGTTAGAAATAAACAGAGTGATGCTTCATATATCAAAATATACTGACAATGACAAAGCTCAAGAATATCAGTCAAGGACATGTATTTATTATTCAAATATTTGTTTCTATAATATATAGAAAATATAGCATATAAAACGAAATAAACTTTAACAATAGCATCACTGTGAACCAAGGTAAGCAATACCGAATAATACCGCCCGGTACGGGTGGTACATACCAGTCCGACGGTATACCGGTACGTGGACCGCCCATTACCGGGCGGAACGAATAATAATAATAAAATAATATTTTATTTATTTATTTATTTATATATTTATTTATATTTTTTTTTTAGAAAAAGGCTCGGCGACGTCACCGAGGCGATGCAACGTCGGCTTTAAATAAATAAAAAATATATATATATAATCTTTATATATATATATATATATATATATATATATATATATATATATATATATATACCGCTC